GTGGTTTCCATGGATCGAACTACGATGTTAAGTGTGGAAACAAAGGAATGGTAAACGGTACTGAAGTAATTGCAGGTTCATTATACTGAAGCTGCAAATAAATGGATCGCCGAATCAATAGTGCACGGATCTTTTTCCGACTCACCCAATACACCAATCTCGATGGTGTGCACCAGGAAAACGTGAACATCGTGTTATGATATAAGGTGTTTTGCCACAAATGAACCAGATAACATAACATCATATGCATGTAACTTTGCAGACATCAACTTCACTTGAATCTTTTTTTTTTCCCCGGTACAGAACTTCACTTGAATCAAAATGAAACAAAACGGAATAAAAGGTCTCCTGTGCGGAGTTGAATCCAAATAATGTTCAACTTCAACCCAAGAACAATAAGTAACAATTTCATGCAACATTACAGGTAGTACATATTGGCTCTCGAATACAAAACTCGAGATACTTGAAATATTAACAGATACGATTTTCGTTTTACTTTTTGAATTAGTTAGACTAAAATCAGGGGTAGTAGTCCTATTGTTAACAAATAAACTGAAAGACTCAAAAGCATGTGTCTGCAAATTGAGTTTAAGCTACAAAGACCAAATAACATAGATACATATAGCCATACTGTCTACCACTGATCATGGATGGTAGTATTTGCATCATAAATCAAGCATGAAAACAGGTCTGAAGGTTTTGCTAATAAAATTTAGATACATACGTTAAGCACAAATGATGGCTACGACAATTTTTACAACTAAAAGCTACATAGAATCACTGACGATATCCTTCCGGAAGAGGAACAACTCTGTGGAAGGGTACTAACCTCTGAGGCAAAGATCCATCCTCTTCATCATCATCAAATTCTAACACATAACTGTTCAACAAAATCATTTTTTTTTTTTTTATAAATATATTTTAGTCAAAAACATGAAAAGACAACTGGATTTCATAACATTGAAAAGATAATAATAATGTCTTGTTATCTTTTATCTAACTTAAGAAGGCAAAATAAAGAAATAATGATTAGAAGTAAAGATACGTACTCATCAGTCTTCCTCTGGTTGATGTAAATTATGAATGTCGGCCATCATCAAGTAGCATGCGAAGCAACAATAATTAGTTTTTTGAAAATAGTTTAAAGCATTTCTTCAAAAATATTGAATGTTGAGTATTCAACTGAAAAACAAAATGTTCTAGTAACCTGCTTTTGGGAAAACAATGAACATTAGAAAAAGAGTATTTAAGTGCCAAATCAAGAGAGGAAAAATGCTTGAACAAACTAAAAATTGCCAGTGTTTAAGGATGGTGCTAGAATTGAGAAAAGGTGAAAAAGTTTGAGCATTCGTTTGTAATTTGCTCGTTCAGCGTTAGCCAAACCTTCTTTGCCACGTTTTCCATTTACACTTTCATTCAATAAGTACAATCACCCAAATAAACAATTAGTACCTTTCTAGCTTGGACAACTGTGGCTTTGTACAGGGCAGTCGTTTCTGGATATACCGCCAAAACATGTTTTCCGAGTGAAAATCTTGGACACTAGACAGATCCGTCCGCTTTGAAAAAGGTATAATATGTGACATAGGCAGCTTGTATTTTCTGAAGTGTTAAACTCATCAAGTGATTAAATCATATACAGATGAATCATATCATAGAGTAAATATGAAACTAAACTTGAAATATTATTATGAGAAAACTCAAAGAGGATGTAAGTATACAGGTAAACTTCAATCTGAATTTACAAATTTGACCCTATGGTGCATGAGAGCCAGTCTCAAGATTTAAACACAAGGAGGCCAATAAATAGATAAAGAAAATAAATTACAAAACTACCTTACCCAGCCTAATCACAATACAATTCATTTCAAAATTACAGCATGTACACTTCATGTTCATTTTAAAGAGGTTCACCTATTGAAGCGGATATTCATTAAGCAGGTTCATTTGTTAAAGGGACATAATTAATGGTATGTACTTGCAGTCAAACCATTGATGAACAAAATACAGAAGTAAAGAGAAGAAAAATAGCCGACCTCTGGCCCCCACCCTCCTCGTCGTCCCCTGGCTCCTCATCGAGGACTTCAAACCTACACGTTGTCATGATTTGAATTTAATTTTGCATTTATTTTGTTTAAAATATCATAATATCTAACATGAACCACAAATACATAACACTTACTCTCGTGTCTCCTTGTCAAAATTGATTACTTTAACCACAAACCACTCGTCCCTTCCAGCGTCCTCTTGACTGACCCTTGCTGCCACCTAGATTATATAGAATTCAATCTTCCCATTATTCCATCTCAACAAGAGGCTATTCAAAAATTTACACCAACAAAAGGAGTTTTGATTGGAGTACGAATGAGTGGCATATCGAGTATAGGCTAGATACGTACTTCTTCACCCTTCATATTTGCAAGAGACTCGAGATGACTTCGCGTGGAAGGAGACAATCTCGGGACATCGGTATCGCCTTTTATCCTTTTCTTTTTCTGTTCACCACCTTCTGCAGTTCAATGAGATTCCGATGTTGGTATCTATAATTAGAAGGTAAGTTATGTGAACAAAAAGTTTCGAATATTAAGTGCAACATTGCAGGTATCTGTAACCAATAATCCATCCCATAATTACAATATGGGGAACTTTGGGGGTTGGCCTACTTATTTAATTTTATTTCTTCTTTTAAAGAAAACTTTCCAAAATTACAAAGTTCAGATATTACAACCGCTCCCTAGGTTAGTAATTTCCAAACAAAGTCCTATTTGGTTTGTAATTTGTACAAAAGATATTTACTAGGAAGAGTGTACAGTTTGAAGATATAGTTTCTTCTTCTTGTCTTATTTTCTTGAATGTTTATTTTACATGATATCGTCAGCATGGAGGATATAGTAATTTTGTTGAAAATAATCATCCTAAGGAAAGGAATAAACCAAAGATCTCTACATGATGACTGCTTTCTTGCTTTGGCAGCCATGAAGATTTTCTCCAAGCCAGAACAAGTAAAATGAATCATTTTGCTTTCTAAATAATTACAAACCTATCTTTTTTCGATGTTGCCCTGGAGTACCCGTAGGCAATAAAGCATCCAATTGTCCTAACAATTGTGTTGCAACGCTGCAATACAGAAACAAAGTAGCTGGTAAAACATAAATCCAAATGCAGCATTCAGAGTTCTTATAACACGAGGATAGAGCTAAGATACGTTAAAGCTTGAGACGCAGTCTTATGCCGAGTCTCCAAGATTAAGCCATTAAATTCGGTCGGGAAGAGAACCAAAAATCATTTTTTTAGGCTATTGTTAACATCATGAAAGGGTACAACTCAAATGTACCTGGCTTCAGTCTCGGAGAGCTCTTTTGCTCGAGTGTATAACATCTTAAGCCTTGATAGAGAGTTATCGCCAGGTTTTTCAACCACCTCTGGAGCTGTATCCGGAAAAAAAAAATAACAAAATAAAAAAAAATAAAAAAATAGCATAATTAATTAATGAAAACAAAAGGTGCATTTTTTGCCTAATCCAACAGTAAGGTGCCAGAATTAAGAGTCTTATCACCATAGATAGATACTTATTCAAACTAGCCCCAATAAGTGCATAGTAAGCTCACTTTATCCAGAAGCTATTTTACTCTTTGATTCATGAAATGAAAGCCACAAAAACCACATAAACTCATGTGTTAAATCAAAATCGATAACTTCAACTCAAGCTCGACTGAGTTAAAAGAATATGTTAGATAATCCAGTCACACTAGAACTTGTATTAGAACCGGGAAGAGAGTGCGGTCCCACCAGATGAAGCGCACCATAAGAGGGTGAGCCTAGATGCACATTAGCGAGATTTCATCTCAAAACCAATTTGTGATAGAAGCAGTAGCCTAGGCTTATATACTATGTTCATTTTTCCCTCATTTTCCCTATAAAATCAACAACTCACAAGTGATATTCCGACAACTTGCAACTCAATTGATGAAGCACATATTCCGACAAATATATGATTTATCATTTGTTAATTGTGCAATCCCCAAATCCCAAACATAACAAAGGACACAAATTGGGCACAAGTATTCTTCCTTCCTAGTGATTGATTGACATAAAGAAAGAGGAGAAGAGAAGATAAGGATAAAATAATGATTAGGGTTGATGGGCACTGACTGGATAGAAGCTTATTGTGCAGCTTGTTGATCTCGAGCAGCACCTCATCCAGCTCTTTCCTCAACCGATCGACTTCTTTCGAGTTCTCTAATATTCCGGCAACAATGTCCGCCGACGACGACATTGTTTTGGGATCGTTATGTGCTGCCTTCTTTCTTCCGATGATTTATTAGAAGACTGTAACAGATTCTGTAAT